GTGTGTGTGTGTGTGTGTGTGTGTGTGTGTGTGTGTCCATGACCAAGAGTGGGCCCAGGCAGTGCCCGACCCCATCAACCTCCACTGCTACCACTTGGGGTGCTCCCTCCTCCCTCAGACTGGAGTTCACCCCCAGCACCTGTGCCTGGGAACCAGCCACTCCAGCCTGCCCCTGGGAAGGGCTGCCCACCTTCCTCCGCTCCTCGGCTGCTTCCAGCCTCTTCTGCAGCTCCTCCAGAGAGACCCCCTTCTTCTTGGGAGGGGAGGAGAGCACGGGGCTCTCTGGGGACAGGTCGGACGGGGATTTGAGGATGACTTCAAAACTCTGGCCAGAGGCTCGCTTATCCAGTTGCTTCACTTCCATATCTGCAGGGACACCAGATGGCTGTTCCCACGCCCCCCCAGGCCAGGTCTGCGGGGCTCCACAGGCCTGGACCCAAGGACATCCCCCCAGCAGGCCATCAGGTTGGGGAGCTTCTGGAGGCCCAGCAGTAGGGGGGCATAGAGGGTAGGGCAAGCACTCACCCCCATACTGGTAGATGGTGTTGGGGTGCGGCTGTGAGTAGAAGCAGGAGCAGATCAGTGACAGCACAGACAGCTCCTTCATCTTCTCCTTGTAGGCTGGGGGGAAGGGTGGGAGTGAGGACAGCCCAGCATCATGGCCTAGGCGCCCCTGCCCCCTGGCTTGCCCAGGCAGCCCCCATCTCTAGCCTGACGGGGGTGCTCTGAGCCTTCATCTTCTGCTCCCTGACTCTGGTCTTCCTGTCAGTGCTCTCACCATCCAGCCCCCAGACGCTGATTGTCTTTCCCTAGCTCTGCCCTGTGCTGCTTCTCCTCTTGTCTCTCCCCGTCAGTGCTGCTCTGTGTCCATGTGTCTTGTCTCTGTGTCTTCTAGGTGCGATCTCTGCTTCGTTGTCACTCCCCATGGCTTGGGTGTGTCACTGTGTGTGCTCTATCTCTCTGAGTCCCTCACCTCCTGTGTCTCTCCAGGAACATGTCCCTGTCCCTCTGAGCCGAAAATACTTGTCAGGGTCAGCAAGGGCAGGAAGAGTGACCTGTGATGGCCAGGACTAGTGCTATGCAGACATGAATCCTCTGTGGATATTAGTTCTGGGAACCCAAACCTCAGGCCCCATGTCCCCCTGTCCACTCCCCTGTCCTCCCGAAGACCAGGCAATACCCGTATTCTCCAGGCACGCAGGTGTCTCCACAGACAACACCAAGGCCAGAGGGGAGCTGTCCGTTCAGCACCACGGTCACCCTCTCGGAGAAGAGGAGCCCCCTGGCTCCGGAGCAAGCCCCTGAGCTATACCAGGGGAACGGCAGACACGTTCAGAATTCTACTCGTGGTGAGCCAGGCCCCACAGCACACACCTGTGAGACCACCCACAGGCACATTCTGGGCTGGAACATGACAGACCTGGGTCCAAGGAAAGCGCAGGAGGGGATGGATTCCCCCTGCCCTAACACTGCACTACCTCTCCTCTCCGGCTTCCGACACTCCCCCGCCCCTGACCTCTCCCCATCACACATCAAGATTTTGAGCTTTTCACAGAAAAGACACGGTTTTCAGCCCTGGAGAGCCCTTCCAAGTAGCCCCACCTCAGCGTGGGAGTAGGGGAAGCCCCTGCATGATCAGGGTAGAAGTGAGAGAGGGCGGGGCGGCTGGTGACAGGCTCTGCCCTGGGGACAAGATCCCTGGCGGGGAGGCGGTATCCTGCAGCTGTGAAAGTAAGATCCAGCATGTGTGTGCACAGAGGCCCCGCCTGGGAGGCTCACCCACAGAAGAACACTGAGCAGGGAGCCATGGGGCAGTGGGCAGAGGCACCTGGAGCCCCGGATTCAGGGATGAGGTGCTGCTCTGGTGCCCAGCTGCAGGTGGAGGCAGGGATGTGACAGGTCAGTAGGTGGGGAGCTAGCAAGACCTGAGAGAGGGTGAGCCCCAGAAGGCCTCAAACACAGGCTGGCAGAGGGGCCTGGGTACTCGAAGAGCAGGCAGGAGGCTGCAGGGACCTGCATCCTTGGTGGGGGTGGGACCTCGGTTAAAGTCACATTTTGCCCTTCATTGAGACCAAACCCAGATCTTCCTGGCCTAGCTCTCCCCAGAACCTCCGGCAGCCCCTCCCTGCTGTCCTGAGGGACCACTCAGGCCCCTGACTGGCCTTCACTGACTCTGAGAGTCCGTGACAATGTCGATGAGGGCTTCTGTCTCTGCTTCTTTCCAGTGTAAGACTTTAAGGACACGGAACCCCTATGGGACCAGCGGCACATTCGCTTCTGTGATGCACAGAAGCTGGAGAAGCAGGCCTGCGTCGTTCCCCCCACCCCACCCTTGGAAGCGGCCAGCAAAGGTGGACGTGTTGATCGCCTTGTTTTGACCGAAGGAAAATGAAGCTCAGAGAGGGCAAGGGCCCGCTCAGCATCACACAGAGGGCCAGAAAGGAGCCAGGTCATGGGGTGGAGTCTGTCCAGATTTAGGAGGGCCTGGAGCCGGCTGCTGACCACCCCCACTAGGCAGTCTCTCCCTCACCAGTTATCTCAGGGGATTCTAGGAGCCAAGAGTGGCAAAACTAACAGAAGAAGCCACCTTCCTCTGGGCAGGAAACTCTGGGAACATGTGTGAAGGGCAGACCCAGGCATGCACTGGGTGCCACTACTGCTGTGGACTGGGGCCAGGCCCTTGCCCTGAGAGCCACCCTCAAGGGGCCATACAGCCGTCCAGACTTCAGACCGAGAAGTTCACAGGCCCGGAAGCAGGGCCCTGGAGAGTCCAGGTCACTGGAGGAAGGCAGGAGAAGGAAGCTATTGTGATGGCTGGGCCTGGTCGGTGTGGGAGGCCCTGTCAGTACAGGCGAGTTTATAATGATGTGAAGTCACAGTGGACAATGGGCGAGTGGCCCGTCCACTACATACCGGGGCCTTTTCTGACCAGGGTCCTTGTCGCTAAGAAACAGCCCAGGGCTACCCACCACCTGAGGAGTCCATGGCTGTGCTGGCTGAACTACAGGTGGCCTTGTGACTCCACCTTGCTCCCAGGGGCAACTGCTGGCTTGGATTTTGCCTGGTAGCAGCCATCACAATGGAAAAGGCTTGGGTGCCCTGACCCGTGGACTCCTGGATACCATCAAATCCTGGGGTGGGCAGTACCCTGAAACACCAAGTGGGCAGGGCTGGGGGTGGCCAGGGGAACCTGGAGCCTGAAGTTAGCCTCTGTCCCAGAGGGTTCTGGCAGATGGGCGTGGCCTTACAGTGGGGGTGTGTGTGAGGAAGAGGAAAGCCCCCTCCCCCTTGCCCACTGGCCTCTGCCTGGGCACACAGGCCTCCAGGGCAGCACCCCAGGCCACAGGGCCCTAGTTTCACTCTGTCAGGCCTCAGACCCCCCTCATGTGCTCCCCGCCAGTGGGTTTCTGAGGCTGTAAAATTTTCCAGGAGCAGACAGCCTCATCGTTCATTCCAAGAGTTGCTGGTAAATTTGAACTGCTGACCTTGTGGTTAACAGGAGACCACCAGGCTCCTCTGAAAGGCACGAAATGGGGTGGGATGGGCCAGGGACACCCACTGTGGTCAGCAGGTCCCTCTGGACAGGTGGCAGGGCCTGATGGGCCGGTCAGGACCAAGTGGATGTGCAGAGCTCTGGGGCCCACATGGAAAGGAGTTTTGTGAGGGGCCCTGGGACCCTCCAAGAGCAGTGGGGGAGGGGCTGCAGTGCTGCTTCTGCCTGAGGAGGGGCCCTGACCCTGCCTGGGCTGTCCTCTGGGCTGCTGCCCGGGGTTGGGGGGGAGGGCTGGGGGGTTAGAGGGGCTGAGAGTCCCCACAGAGGCCACATCCGGAGCCCTCGGGCCTGGTTCTCAGCGCGGCCTTCCACCCGTGTGCGGGGGTGGGGGGGATGAGGGCTGGGACGGGGTTTCTATTCTCCAAGGGGGGTTCCAGCGGAGAGGTGAGGCGGGCCTGCGTGATGGGTGGAGTGGGAGTGGGAAGGATGCTTGGGGGCTGGAAACAGCAGCACGCTTCCCCCACTCAAGCCCTGGAGGCGCAGAGGGCAGTGGACTTCCCTCCGCTGGTGGTCCCCAGGGCCCACAGAGAAGAGCGGGGACGCCAGGGGTGATCGCAGCCTCTCTGGGGTCGCTTCCTAGCAGTCCCCGCTCTCCCGCAGCGTACCCCCCACCGCAGGACCGCAGGAGGCCGCACAGGGCGACGTCTCAGGGTCGCCGTGCCAGTGATCCGGGGGACCCTGCCTGCACCCTGC